GTGAGTTTTCGGGGTTTAAAGCATAAAGGATATTTATAGCTGCCAGCTGCAGCCTTTAGAAGCGGCTCCGGATGATTCCGTCACTGTAAAATATATGGGATTACTGTAAAAATAATGGGTTTTTTTCAGTTTTACATCCTATTCCGGCTTGTAGCTCGCGATGTCGAGAAATTGCCATCTCCAAATTTAATATGTTGTGGAGAAAAAAATTCTACACAAAATATAAGCTTTTAAAAAATTTAAAGACACGTTTTTTCTATGCTAGTTTGAAATTTTGTTTTTATTGTATCTTTGTGAATTTTCATCGGGATTAAACCGTTCAACATTTTTTGAAGGCCCAGTACATAAGAAACAAGAGGATTAAAAATTGTTAAGTTCCGTTGAGAACGGACCCAATTACAAGCCTCCAAAGACAGGTGTGTTAAGTGTCAACCTGGCAAATTTTGCACTTTTGGGGGGGGGGGATGTAGCTTGGCGGGGAATCCAGTTTCTCAGATTTTCTTTGAGGCTTTCGTTATGCCAGCCGAGACTCTACTGATCAGCAAAAAATGAAAAAAATTTGAGAGTGTGATGTTCAGAGTTATGCGGTTTGGCATGGAATGGCCTATATATTTCATGGTCTGTAATATAAGCAGGAATGAAGAGTAGAGTGATTAAGTAAAAAAAGTTAAAATAATCATAATACAGCTTATCTTTAGAATGAGTTTGAAAAACAGTCCGAAAAAAATTGGGCGAAAAAAGCTACCAGTAGAAATATTACGCATAGTATTCCTCCCATCAGCCAGCGACATTTCAAAACACTGGGGCGAAAATCTGCGAAAACAGTGGTTTCTTGTCTGAAATTTCGGGAAAAAAAGCGCTTTAGTTGACTGCAGCCGAATATTTTCCATGATCTCTGCAACTGGTAATAACATCCACGGATTTTATCGTGCCTAATCACTCCATTTTGGATCTGTTTTTTTCTGTATCCATTTCGCGTTTTCCCGCAAAGGTTGCATTTCTAGAATGGAGGAGGAAAGATAAATTTGGAAGGTCAAGAACGAAGAAGCGCGAGAATGAAGAGGCAATACCACTTCCCTAGCACGGGCGTAATATATATATTTGTGGGCCATTCTATGCCAAATCGCACACTTTTGAACATCAATGAATGGCTTTTTTGTTTAATAATTGTCTTTCAATTCTGAGTGTTCCAAGGCTTTTATTTAGTGCTGTAGCAGACGTTTCTTAGCTACAGTCGGCTGAAAGACGAGCTACGGAAGAAATGCATAAATCTCAAAAATTAAAAAACTACAGTACTTCAGGTGAAGAACCTTTTGTACCAGTTACATTTCTTCACCCGTTGCACAGTCGTAACCGTACAGCTGTTGCAAGTTTTGAGCCTTTCAAAAAGTCGCAAAAGTTTCCTTCAGAGCTGTGGCTGACTTGCGAATTATCCTTCTGATAGCTATGGTGAGGTCAATTTAGTGACAGGAAACCGTAGAAAAAAGAATGACGAAGCTTAAACGAGCGAGTAAAACGGATAAAGCTACGTTCTTCGCTCTTTTTTTCCGTCATTCTTCGTTTCCATGAAGAGTTAACCAAATTCTTTCGTTTCTTTTCAAAGAGTGTAGAAGTTCTCTTGCTTCCCACCATGCGCGGCTGATAAGGTTGTAGCACAACACTATTCCATGTTAGTGAACAGCACAGTGCGTGGAGTATTTGGGTCAAAACAGTTCGGTAAAGGAGGGCGATTTAGATTCTAAAAGTAATCATTACGATAATTTTTGTTAATGAATTTTTAAATTCACTTAGCAACAAGAGGTTTTTTGCCAAGCACCTAATACTAAACTGCCTTAACCAGGAAATGCTTTAATGCAATTATATTTTGGTTGAAACCAGGGCTGTTACTCAAAGAAACATCAAAATGTTGCGATGTTGCGTCAACTGAGGTTTTTTTGTATTTCTCCCCTGGTAGATGAATTTTCTAAAAACGCATTGCAGAATTTCTACAGCTTTGCAATCTGGCACTCTGGAGGGATAATAATTAAAAAATATTCAACGTAAGCAAGCAATAAAGAGTGCCAAGTCGAAGAATACATATGTAATTGCAAAGATAAATTGTTTTAGGAGTTTCTGCTGAATGTACACAGGATCATCGACATTGTGGACAATGCCGATCTTTTAAATTTATTCATACTCGGTTTGAACTCAGAAGATGTAACAGAAACTTTGTATCCTTATTACTATTCAGAGAGATCTAGGAAAACTTGTTTTAACGGAAGCAAGGTAAACTTACACTTACAATTGTTGCTCTAACTAGGCGGTATTTTGAATATAACTCTGTCAGTTTTAGGTAAATTTGGTTTGTGAAAATATTCGAAATTGTTTAATTGTGTTAGAGTTGGAGCAGGTTATCCCACTGTTTAGTTGTTTGCTTTCAACTTACGTTAAAATGGAACCTAAACAAGCCGCAGACGCACTATTAGCGATACGTCTTTATGGCTCTAAAGGTTACTTTGTTCTTTTTCAAATTTTTTGCTTCTGTTATCAAAACATACCTCCATGGTTTCCTATACCGAGAACTTTCTCACAAATTGAAGCTTCTTTCTTGATTGAAAATTTTTAGTTAAAAATGGCGACGAGATGAGAAGAAAATGGTTGGATTATTTGACACTGTTGTTACCGGAGGAGAATTTGTTTAAAGCAGCACTTAGCATCTACGACATTGAGCTGGCCGAAATTGTTGTGAAAAATTTACAATTAGTTCGTTTAAAATTCGGTTTTTTCCGTTTTTATTGAAAAAAATTGCATATTTCTGTTTTTTTAGGACCCAAAAGAATTTCATGAAATTTTGTCAGGCTTCAACTCAGTAGGATGCCGTAACTACCAGCGATTTCTAATTGATGTTTGGTTGGGGCGTTATGAAGCTGCTCTAGAAAATCTCTCACAATTGCCTGAGAGATTTGACGAGGCGAAAGATTTTATAGAACAGCAGCAGTTGTATTCTGCGAGTTTAAAAATATATTGTGGGAAAGATCATTATCTGGTACATTTTTTTCGATATTTCTAGGCAGAGCATTGGTAATTAATAAAATGGTTTATTCTTTCAGAGATATTGGTGAAAAAATTTTAACTTTCAAACATTGCTTCAGTTTTATTTATTTTATTGTTATTTAAAGCTAATCAGCTCTAAGGAAGTTTTCTTCGCTCACTTAGCTTCTTATTTCAAAGGTTTTTTGGGGATTGGGGCTTGAAGTATTTGATTGAAATTTCCAACGCTGTTTCCTGTCTGACTTTTTCGGATAGTTAGGTTATGGATAAACAACGCGGAAAAGTTATAGGATGTTTGTGCTTTGTGCGCAAAAGACCTTTTTCGACGAAACCTCTATGAAGAAGCAGGACTGTTGTTTATGAAAAGCGCATGTTATATGGATGCCATGCTTTGTGCTGAATTGTCTGGTGACTGGAAAGGCGTTTTGCAAATAGCGAAGAAAGCAGAAATGTCCGATGCTGATTTGGCTGTGAAACTGGAAAAGGTGACGTTGCTGCTAGAAAAGAAAAAAAAGTATGGGCAATGTGTTGAATTGCTGTTACACCTGGGACGATCCGTGAGTTGTTTGTATAATTTATTGGCAAGTCGGCCTTTTTTTTGGTTCTTACAAGTAATCGGTGCTCAAGTTGTCACTTGAATTCAGTACCATCACATTTTGATCTCAGTAGCACTTTGTTGTGGAGTTATTTCATTGTAGGAGGATAGGTATAGAATTTTAAAGCTGCTGGGCCAGGCAGGTGACTGGAAAGGTCTCAGGAATTATAGCACTGGCGATGAGGGTACTGTTTTCATATATTTTTTGGAATATTTATTTTTTTAAGAAGCTCTGTGTGGGGAAGCTCAAATCACTCTCTTCATCTATTTTTCAATTTTTATAAGTGTTCATTTTTTAACTCTTATAGAACTGGAAAAAGCTGCAGAAGAATATGTGCTTAATCAAAAAGCCACCTGGTGCCAGGACTGCTCTAATTGGGCGAATATTTGGGAAAGTCAACATTTGCGTTTGGAGTCTTTGAGGAAAGATAAGAAGATGAAATTACAGAAAATGAGTGAAAGCGACATAATGGAGTTCGACGACACTGGCTCAGAAGTTCGTTTGTTCCATTTCTGTAGTAATTATTATCTCACTAAACTTCTGAAGATGGATCTATAAGTGTTTATTTTGTGTGCTATTTCAGTTGCTCACTGAGACTTCTAGTGTCATTTCGGAGGTATCGCGAGTATCTTCGAAAACAAATGTATATTCTCGAAATAAAAAACGCCGTGATAAGTCTGTAATTATACTTTTTATTTTTTTTCACTTTCTTGTTATTTAATTAGGTTCTTTTACAGAAAGAAAACTATTTTGAAAGTAGGCGGTCAGTATGAAGACGCAGCTCTTCTGAATTCACTGAAAAAATTGGCAATTTCAGCGAATTCTCGGCAAGGTTTATATAAAGTTTTTAATTCGTCTCCACTTTTTGGATTTTCCACAATCTAGAAGTTTCCAAATGGAATACTTTTCTCTTGCTTACTTTAGAAGAAATAGGGCCTTTCTTGCAAACATTGGTGTCGTTGAATTTTATTGAAGAAGCAAGTGAGCTCCAGCGAAGTTTTGCAGCGTTATTAAAGAAAATGAAGGACTCGTTTCCAAAAATATGGCCCACTTATATCGAGTCTTATCATTTGCTTGGTCCGCTCTCGGAGATTGTATGATTTTACTGCATTTTTTGATTTTGAGCTGGTTACTTCTTTGAAACTTAAGCCATAGCATTTTTTTTTTATAAATTTTATCCGCAGTTGTATTCTAAGTTTTGTGAAACTTTTGGGGGTATTTTCGGTTTTAGAAACGTCCTTCTAGCGTGTCATTTTATTTGGTCAAGTGAGGGGAAGTTAGAGAAGCCAGAAAGGAATACACTGTCCTACTTCTATAATATTATTATGTGATTGCTCAAAGTTGACGTTACAAGCCTTATCATTACTTGTTATGAAATTAAAATTTTTTCATTTTTCTGTTTTGTGTGAGTGCTGAGGCAAGAACTTTATTTGACATATTACATTATTTACTACGTGTTATTTTACTTTTTTGCCGAAAGTTTGAACAGGTTCAAGTTGCCCATATCTTGAGTTGAATTTATTAGGTTCTAATTTGAGATGTGAGTGCAGCTTCTCTAAAGTGAGTATTGCGACTTTTCAAACATTTTCCTTTTATTTCTAGCAGTCGAAGCGAGGGTTTTTTTTTCTAATACCCTCTTATGAAAATTTTAGTATCGATGTGACGATGGCGTAATTCGTTACCCGGAAGGAGGTGGGATGCCACCGCGACTAACGCTAGGTACTTTTAAATAAGCCTGTCGTTAAAGGTGTTTGTTTGTTATTATAGTTCAGCAGTTTTTAACATGTATTTTAAGCATTATTCTTGGTGGGAAAGTAAGTTATGTTGTTGCAGACGATGAACTCTACCCTCCAAATATTAATTTCTCGGGATCTTGGATGATGGAAATTTTGAAGCACTAATTTGGGCCATTCTTACAGGCAAAAGTCCTTTAAAGCAATATTATCTTTTTAGAATTGGCGTTTTTTATTCGTGGAGCGTGAGGTTTTAGCTGTAGATTTCAATTTTTCTTGTCTGGTCAGCCTGTGGACACTAAATTACTTTTTGGTTTTAGGAATATTTTTTCTTCGCAACCAGATGCTTTGGTTCTTCATTTACTTATCACAGCACAAGGCCATCCGGATAAATTTGAAAACTTGCATCTTTGCTTTTTTTGAAAAGACAGTTGTTTGTAGATTTCAGCGTTGGTATTTGCTCTTATTAGTGGTAAGATCAGGCTTTAATAAAATCTTCCGCCATGTTAAGATATTGTTTTGTGGAAGCTTTTATCGCTGGAACACTTCCGTGGGTAGTTTCTTTATTTTTACCAAATGACAAACTGATGAAGGGTTCAAGATACAATGACAATGAAGGAGCAGTTCTGTTGTTGCAGAGGCATGAAACAACGGCACTTGCCTGGTATTTTGAAACAGAGTTACAAAAGATTGGCTTCAGCTGTAATTAAATGGTCCAAGACACTTTTGGAGGAGGGAACTTCAAGCAGGGACTTGTCTTTGAGTTCATTCCATACAAGGACGGCTTGTCGTACATGGATTTGATACACCTAGCTTTGTTTTCTTCATTGAAACGAACAAACTTCTCTGGATAATGCTTGGGGTCATAGTACGGGATCGTACCTGAATTTGTACTTTTGGAAAGTTTTGCACATCCCTGTTAATTTGTTTGAGCAGAGTGGGAGTTGATGTCCTCTTATGAACGCTGTGAAGGTGGTCGAACAAGTAGTGGGTACAGGGTAAAAACAAATTTGGAGAGTTTTCATCAAATACAAGCAGGGCAGGCGAGTGTCTCGATAAGTAAAGGGTATTGAATTTCATTTCTGTTACAGGAGTTGACACTTCTGATTTTAAATCCACCAAGGGAAGCTGAAGACGAAGAAGAGTGTAGTGAGACGAGTTCATCGAAGTTTTTGGGTTCTGATTAGGCTGAATCTGGCTTTTAATGTCGTTCCGGCCACTACCGTTGGTTGCTGTATTATTCAGTTGGGGAATCTCGTGCATTAGCTAAGCACTACCTAAATTAGTGCAGCCTTTGCTAACTCAACTAAGAACATGCCCTTGTAAGCAACGCCTCGGTTTTCCGACGGCTATCGCGTATCGTGAGTCTCCAAGCAACTACTAGTGCTATGGGCGAGCGAGATCTGCTTTAAGCGATGTCATGCAGAGTAGAGGTTCCAGTGTTAGTACTGAACGAAAGTGCACTGGCGAACTAGATGTCTTAAAAATTTATGCTGCCAATTCTCGACCGGTTTAACAGTGCAGTTGTAACAATGAAAGGTCTTTTAAAATATGGCGTTGCAATTTCAAAAATTTTGTCGATAAGCAAACAATTGGATAAGAGTGCAGTAAAGAGTATCTTCAGATGCCCTCCAGGTCAACAGAGGTTTATTACAGTAAACTCTGTCCGGTGGTCAGGTGCACAAGACGCACTTGTAGTCTGTAAAAGACCCGCTTTTTGGAATTGAGAGACTGCTTTTAGTAAAATGAGCAGGGTTTCTGTTGGTGATCAGGTATTTCAGCGTAGTAGAGATTTTTAAAAAATGAACTTGTTAAAAAATTGAAGATTTAGAGGAATGCGGTAATATGGCTTTTACTTTTACCAGCTTATTTCGCCTAGTGGAGTTGGACCGAATAAGTCATTTGAAAGGTCCAAGGTTTTTTTAGTGAGATTGAGTTAACCAGTCCGCGTAGTAATTTACATTGATGTACTACTGTCCACCTTGGGAAGCTTGTTTTATAACATGTGTAACTGATATATACATTGTCTTGAGATTTCTTATATTGTGATAGTT